CGCTGGACAATAGACACACGACCATATTTTTTGTCTTCCCTGGATGCGGTGAGTTCTTCCTCCTACTCGTCTTCCCTCTCCTCATCCCGCTCCCCCTCCTGCCACTCTTTGTTCCGTTCATCGTTCACCGCCTCTAATCGAACATTGATTCTCCGCTCCTTTAATCATTCTTTTGTAATTATTTTGATTTTAAGTTGATGATATCGACTGATAGCCACCGGCTTATCATCTTTACCCAGGTTGTCTTCATCTCTGAAGCTAGTCTGAAAGCTTCCATCGCTCTGACTAATGAATTCGAGGCTTGAATCAATACTGTCAAGTCATCTGCAAACATGACTACTGTGGGAAATGACATGTGATGTGGGGAGCCAACATTCATTTCCGGCAGTCTTCGGATGGATGGGTCTTTGTGCAAGAAAAAGGCAATTGCTGCCATTACGAAGACACTAATGATTAATAGGTGGTGTCATTTTCGGCGATTTTTTCATCGAAACTGCCATATTTCCCTGAATTCTTTTTCTTTTTTTTGTGTGATATGGAAGTGCTTTAGGGTATATCTGTATTCTCTTCATAGTGTTCTCCTGGAATTCTTGAGTCAGAAGAAGATGGTTGCTTAGTTTGTGGAAGCTCCTTCCCTTCTGTATGTATTKGTCAAAAGTTCGAGAAGGAGATTATGCGAAGGAGGATGGTGATGGCAAGAGGAGGAGGAAGATGACACTGGTCCAATCTTTACTTTTCTTCTTCTTCTTCTTCTTCTTCTTCTTCTTCTTCTTCTTCTTCTTCTTCTTCTTCTTCTTCTTCCTCCTTTGTCTCATTGGATCTCTTCTTGAGTTGCGATGAATGGCACGGTCTCAAATTGCAGTTTTGCATTATGCAATTACTCAATAGGTCTGACACTATGGCCGACCCCTGTAGTAGTTATGACACCCGGCCTGACACCACGACCGTTGGTATTTTCATTTCTTTTTGGAACTCGGCGCCTGTTTTCTTTGCCGGCGCGTGTTTCTTTTCTTCGCTCATTCGATACTTAAAAGTGACATCAATGTACTTGCCCCAAGTTTTTTTTTTCCTTTGAGAAAAAGAGGGGACTTAAACCACGAGTAGATCCGCAAAAGCAGATTGAGCCTCTCCTAAAAAATTGAAGGCCATGAACTGCCGATTCAATTTCTTGACGGTTCATGGCCTCCAACCTTTAAGGAGAGGCTCAATCTGCTTTTCGGATGTACTGGTGGTCTAGGAAAAGGTTGAGGTAAATGGAGTCTATACGAYCAGGCCAGTGATCTCAGGTCTGCAGAGATAGGAGGTTTCATGGAATCAGTGAATCGCAGAATTCATAGTACCTGGCCCAAGTAAGGAAGCTCCACAAGATCATCTGCATCTGGAAACAGCTCTGTCTCAGCGTCCTGGTTGCTCTTGTCCCTGCCYGGCAACTCTTGCCTTCTGTACCAGTCATCAATTTCAGCTCTTAATTTGTCCTTCACTTGAGGGTGCTTGTCCAGGAGATAAACTGCATTGGTCAAGCTAGTTCCTGTGGTATCAGTGCCTGCTACAAGGATATCTCTGACCAATGCGGAGAGCTCCAAACTCGTGAGCGCCCTGCGCTTTCCCTTGTTGGTGGGATCATCTATCTGTGCCTTTGTCATAAGTGTGAGAAAATTCCCCAAAAGTGTCTGCCTACCTTGCACAATGTTCTGGCATTCTCTGTTGATGAATGTGAGGTTCTTCTGCAGTCTGTACCGCTTTGTTCCCGGGATTCGCGCTGACAATGCGATCAGCTTACGGAGCAGCTTTAGATCATCAACTTGCAATGATAAGATATCAATCAAGTCGAAGCCCGCACGCAAGTCGTAACTGTTCAAGTCTGCAATCAGTGCGTCCATAAGCGCCTTTTCTTGTCCAGTGCTATGTTCTTGCACTCCGAACTGGATGCCCAACACTGCTTCCGCAATGGTGTCAATTGAAAATGCATGGAACCAATCGGAAATCTCAACCTTCTGACCTGGCGAGACACTCTTCAGCTTCCTGGTCAGAACTGACGAGGTCCGCTGCATGATCCCCACAAAAGTCTTCAACTGTGCTGAATGGAACAGCGGTTGGGCCGCTCCTCGGACACTCGTCCAATACCTGCCACTGCAAAGTTGAACACACAATCCCAGAGAATGTGGCACGAATTACAATCAACAAACCCGGGCCCAAGACATCAGTCCCCATCCCTGCCACCCCCGCCCTTGCTCAGTAAATCCCGTGAGGACCACGGTAATCAATGCTGGCAGGATATCATCCCACATTTACAATGTTCTCAGGGACGCGGGACCCGGTTTCCAGCAGGTGTTGCTTTCCACCAACAGATGGAGCCTCTCCGGGGGTGCTAGGGGTGTCTGCTCCTATCAGCATCCCTAGCATCAGCACGGACTGTCAAGGGAGAAAAAAAAAAAAAGGTACACTGGACGCACCAACCGACTGACAGTTCTTTTGAACAAGTTATGCTTACTCAGTCTCTTTCCTGCTAGGCTGTTTGTCCTGCTCGCCATGCCATTTCGCCCGGTTTTGCATGGCTAGGTCTGTTTCCCCTGGTTTGCCACTGCATTTCCAGGGTTCCCKGGGTTCCAGGAGACCCCAGTTTTTCGGAACCGGCCTCGGAGTCTGTGGGCCCAATAAGATTCAAAGACTCTATGGCATTGGAACTTTTGGGTTAACACATGTCCCTGCACAGTTAGCTCGTCCAGTATGTAGTCATGTCTGAATTCAAATAGTAGGGCAATCTGGATTCTTAGGGCCAGGCCCCAGAAGTGCTATGATGTTCATGCTAAGAAAGATGAACCGGGACAAGTATAGGACTATGCATGAACAGGAGAGACCAACGAGCACCAACGGGTAAGTAATAATGTTCGCCCATATGCTGCACGACCCCTATTGCGCACAGGCCAGAGCACACAAACATGCAAAGATGTGCAGTTGAAGTGCAATCTTGTCAGAAAAGTATTGAAGCCTGCGTAACCTCCATAGGGCACTCGTCGTGCGCCCATCAATGATGTCGAGGAAGACGTGAGTGCTGGAAGGGAGGCAAAGAAGAAGTGCGTGAGGATATCATGAGTTATCATGGGGGAATTGACGGAGACAAGATGGCAGAGAGACAAGAGTRAAAGCACAATTGAAAGGAGGGATCATGCACACAGCAAGAGTTACAAGAGATAAGACGACCAGACCAGCGGGAACCATTACCTGCTCAAGCACCCAAGAAGCGGSAACKTTTCGGTGGGAAGCTTCGTGCTTCCTAATTTTACGGCTTACCTAGTCTAGTAKWCYWKT